TCATCATCATCATCATCATCATGCTGGTTTTCCTAGAAGTTTTAATGTCAACTATGCATCTATAATTATCAATAACAGTTTCATTTTACAGTGACGGCACAAAATGCTGGAGCAACAGTGTTTCACTCAAAGGCTGCACCAGCTTTGCTCCTGAACAGTCAATAGTTAACCAGTGTTTACATAGACTGTATTAACCAAGGTCATGTGACTCTATAGACAAATGTATGATGTTAAAAAAGGCCAGTACCGCTTCGACTATTCCACCGATAATTTATTGACGGCATGCACTAAGCAACTAACATCACAAAGCTTCATACTGCACAGTCCTACAACACATGGAAAGGCAAAGAACTAACTTTGTGCAATGACATTCAAATTCCACACTAAACTATTCTTCAGCCAATACGCCAAACATCATCCTTGTTTCTGACAACTTGGTGGAAATCCCACAACATCACAAACCTCCATTAGTTTCAGACTTTCAGACTCAATATCTCCACTACCATCCGTACCATCAGTAAACTGGCAACAAGATCTATCTATCAAACCCAATGACGTCGTCTTCTGAATGACTACCAACAGTAATATACAGCTCATACCGTACAAGGTAATCCAAAAAGTGCACGTCAGTGGGCAAAACATTTTGGGATTGGCACACCCTGAAACCTGCCCTAACTGCACACAAAACACCCCTGACACAGACACTACACTGTACAGCACTGCAATGCACATTTAGAAACTGATGCAACTACAGTATCAAACTGATTAATACCATAGTTGCATCAGTTTCTATATGCCCCGCTTTGTATTGTACTGTAGAGCATTGCCATGCACAGAGCATACAGAAACGAATGCAACTACGGTATCAAACTGATTGCTTTTATCACCAGCTTTTATCATAGCACCTCTTAAACCAGAAGAGAGATTCAAACGAACTGTCAAAAGATCTCAGTCACCTGTTCAGTCTCCACAAAGTTGGCCACTTGTCCATCGTCATTTGTTCCTCGAACGTTGAATCGCGTGCCGGCTCGCTCTGAGCTGAGGCGGGAGAAGATGCAGGCCTTGGCCTGTTTGTGCCCTGCATAGATGGTCCTGATCTCCACACCCCCACACATCAGCCTCAACAGCCAGTCATCACAGTTTACTCCATAATGTTTCAGGTGCAGGTGCAGAGACTGGTTCCTATTGATTCACGACATCAAAACAGACACAAAAGAAAACACACAAACAAATTCAGTGTGAGCCGTGAATTTTCACACCTTAGTTGCAAATCACAGTCCTATCGCACATTCATTAGAAACTATTACACCACCGCACAAGGCTGCGCAGATAGTTCATATACCAAACCTGCCTATTAGTCTTCTTATAACATAGGAACAGTAATAACTTCAGGGTCTTACCAAAAGAAGCGGTTATCTGTAGTGTCTTCGAGGATCCTGCGATGCGCATTGAGACTGAGGTCCATGCTGACTCCAGTGGAAGACCAGGCAAAATAGAAGTGTCCTGAGTTTAGGACCTTTCGCACCTCAGCGATCCGGTCCTCATCTCCTGGATCATTCTTCAGCGATATAAAGTCTGTCTGTGTGACCCTGAAAACCTCAGAATCCTGCACCTTCCCCACAGAGCTGCATCCTGTCACAACCACCAGACTGTGGAGCATAGAGTCACCTAAAGAAGAAAGGTTGAGTTAAAGCTAGCTGTCGTGTATCAGCGTTTGCTTCGCTTGCTGCGGCGGCAAAAAGGGATGATGAGAATGAAAACTTTATATATGGTGGATTGTAAAAGCACTGCATTAAGGAAAGACACAATAAAACATGAAGCCTTTTAAGAACTGGACATGAAATAGTTAATCAAACTTTGGTGCCACTCCTTTATAGGAAATTACCAGCCAGTCAAATCTCAGCCATCTCTAAGACTGAGCTTTAATCTTTTACACCGCATTTTCCTTGTTGTGATACCAAGAGCCTTCAAGGTCATGTAGAGGAGAAAGCAGCTTAGAAGTAGGCAGCAACAGGACTGCAAACCTCCACAGTCACACAAGAACTCAGGAGGTCAGAATGTGGACGGGATCCAAGAAATGTCTGCAATAGGGAGCAATCGATACATAAGATGATTGTGTAGCTCACCCAGGTTTAGGCGGAGGACGCCCAGTATCCCATAGGCATCAACAATCTTGCTGTATGTGTTTTTAATGGCCTCCTTCTCTGCCGCCGCTGGAGACAAAAGCAACACAAAGTCATAAAAATATCACTAATACTCTACGTCCATTACTTGATAGTCAACGTGTGTCTTATAGCTACATTTCCTTTGTGGCATCTTTATTTGGAGAGTTTAATCTCAGCGCAAACGAACAAAACGCCTTACACAGAACAGCAACAGCCCCCGATTCGAACATGAGGCATTCTTCCCTGGTCCTAGTTTCCACTATGACACTGTAGGGGGGTGGATCCAGCTTGTGGTAAATGCGATATCCCTTGCTGAAGGCCATTGTTGATCCAAGATGAAAAAAAAAAACTATATTATGACCTGTAAACCAAGAAGAATGAATGACAGCAGATCAGAAGAGAGGCATTATCCAATCAGACACAACATCTGTAATTTGAAGGCTACTGCAGAGTATGGTGCACTATTTATTATTGCTGGAGAGGCTTGCTTTTTTACGATGCATGGATCAAAAATCGACTTATTAGATTCTGTATAGCTGACACAAATACGTAATATCAAACACGGGACGAAAAGGCATCATAAAAACTAAATGTAGATAAATGTACAGCACTCTGACTGTAGATAATACAACATTTGGGTTTAAATGTGTCCAATCAATCAAGAAAATCCTGTCCTAATACTCGGCAATAACGTTTCACACTGCGCGATCCAGATTGACGAGAGGACTTGAATTGCGAAATTAGAAAGCCTTGGGTCAACACACTACCAATGGCGGGCACGGATACGGCCCACAGCTATGACAAACTAATCTTAGTTTAAACTGAATATCGCAGGTAGCTGGAGATTATGGGCAGCAGCAGCAGCAGCAGCAGTAGTCCTGTGAGCGATAACGTTAGGCCGACTGAAACATCATCCTGACACGGACAGTCACGACTCTGTAGTGCAACTGCAGCAGGCGAAGCTAACGTGCAACTTACCCGACAGCTAGCGTTAACGCGATGGGAAACAATTAAAACAAAACGAGGGAGATACATTGAACGGCGAAAAACAGGCTGCGGTTTTCTCGCGTATCTTACGCTAGCTGGCATCGTTAGCTAAGTTAGCTTAATTAATCACAGGCATAGCTATGATTCGCTAACGCTAGCTGACAATATTGTGATAGGTGGTTACTAACCTGCACGTCCGGGATGTTAAGCTGACATTTACTAATACGTACATTTGAGCGACTCGGTCGTGTAAAACATATAAACCCGTGCAGACGTTTTCAGTACAGGCTTCGTCTTTAAAATTGGAGGTTAGATTTAAATTACAGAGAGGAAGGGCTGTGGATTTCGTCTTACCGTGTCCCCCCGCCGGGTTGTAACTCCGCTGTCACAACAAAATCCTTCCCGGTGTGTTGGCAGAATGGTACATTCCGACGCAAAGCACGCCTACCTCACGTTACCGTAATGCCTAGTGAAACGATGGCGTGCCTTTTTGTACAAAGATAAACGGAAGCAGATAGTGTAAATAAATATGTCGCAAGCTAAACCCAAAGAATGTCCCTCATAGGTATTTTAAATACACTTGTATGTGCGATAAGGGGCCTGTTACAAAACGTCCCAAACTGTCCGCCCGCTTCACTCTTTGACTGACAGTTCTTCCGTCGAATAAACGCGGCCTTGAAAGACGGCTGTCCAATCGCATGCGGCGAGGGGCGGGACCCCGGCTTTTCACAACAACCCCACTACGTCTTTATAAAACAAGAGCACCGAGCGACCTCAGAAACAGAATGTTTCACCGGGGTCACTTTATTGATTAAAACATGATCCAAGTGACCATCTAAAAGGTAGGTTCTTGTGAACATCCTATGAGAAAAATAACGCTAAGCTGTGTAAGTCTCTTACATTGCCTGTTATCTAAATATTTAGCTAGCCTAGCTCATCCTACAGCATACCGTAGTCACAACAAACAAAATGTACATTTTTTATCTTATATTCCACTTTATGTTTCAAACTGTCAGAAAATGTTGGATCGATATTGTAGTGCAATCTTTTGAACCCTCGATTATTCTCAGAAGAACCAAACAAATATTATCTGTACCTCCACGTAGACCTTAGTCTTATGACTTGAATCACTTTTGTGCTCTATAAAGTAGAACTGTGGATGTCTTCCTGCACAGTGTACCTGCATGTTGAAGTGAAGGGTTGAAGGTTAAACTTGCAACAACAGAATTATCTTTATGGAGCTTTTCAATATTCTAAATTTGTTTTAAACTGTAGTATAAAAGTCTAATTCATACACTGCCATATGTTTTTGTTTTTATTCCACCTCATATCAGTTGAACTGTATTTTAACCCTATTATCTGCCTCTCTAAATGTATTCTCTTCATCTCTTTTTCAGGGAATACTGCTGCAGCTCCTCACAATGAAGGGTCTTTTCCTCGTGGAGCCTGTGGTGGCTCTGTACGCTTTCTCCAGTTTTCTCATCTATCCACTTTTGCAGCAGTATGTGTACCGAAGGCTCTGGCAGCAACTAACAAACACCACATACCCTACCTCGGACAACACCTCCAGGTGTGCAGCAAACGGCAGCAGCAACCATTCAAGCTATCATGAGGTTAGTCATGAATTACTGGATGGAAAAAATAGTTACTTTAAGTAATTCAAGGCACAAGGAGGATTCTTAGTTACAAATATTTTATATTTTTTGCTACTTTAAGTTTTAATAAACAAATGAATATACTCTAGTATTTGCCTGTGTAACATTTTCGGTATAACAAGTACTGGAACTTTGTAAGGGTATTAATACTGTGAATATTATTTGAAAACTATTTTTAGAGACAGAGGGAAAAAAATGCCTGTTTTTCTTTTTGTTATCTGCCTACTACTTTTTTAAGCATGTGACGCTGACTCAGACATAGTTGTGTCATGTTTTTTTGTGTGTTTTGTTGAAAGCAATGTCTTATTGACATGTCATGAGTTCTTCCTCAACTGCAGGTTGTCTCAGCAAATCTCCCTGTGTGTTCAACCTTTAGTGTCATGACTCAGCAATAATATTCCTATAATCCTTTAGGATTCACTCTTGCAACACAGCTTATGTAAAAAGAACTGATTCAGCTTCTTCACCGCAAGGTGATATGAAAGGGAGACCTGTGACTAAAGTTTACTGTTCTAAACCTGCACTGACGCTGACTGACATACGCTAGTAGCAACACTTTTTCTCAAGAGTGATAATCTTATTAAATTATAATTTCAGACCACATGATGACTTACTAATGTGCAGCAATTAATTCTACTGTATTATAAGAGGGATTTAGAAGAAATGTTCTGCTGCAAAAGGTATTAGTGATGTTTAATTTGATTATGTATTCATGGAAGAATGGAACAAGGAAGTGAAAGCGAACACACTGATCCTTTGTCTGAAAATAGCCACTCCTGCACCTGTTATACTGTAGAAAGCTTTGTTTCTTTCGGGCCTGAATAGGAAGACCTTTTGCAAAATGCACAAAATGGAAGTGCTTTAATTTTGTGTTGGTTTCATGACTTTAAATGTCTCTGTTTAACTTGTGTTGTTTGCAGGATAATTGCCAGCATGAGGGCAGTTATTTTGTCTGAGGCCTGCTATTATGGCTGAATACAGAGAGTCCAGTGTCAGTCCATGATTTTCAGGCTTAACCATGCTCTCTCTTTCTGTGTTTCCAGGAGGTACAGAGGCAGGCCTCTCTCTTCTCCCTTTACACAGAGGTCTTCTCCACAATCCCCTCTTTGGTTGTCACTCTCATGCTTGTGGCCTATAGTGACCGGGGAGGACGCAAGATCACAATCATCATGCCTCTGATTGGCACATTGATCTACACCTTGACCTTTCTGGTGGTGTCCTTCTTTGAACTCAACGTTTACTTGCTCATTGGCTCGTCGCTTCTCAGTTCTCTGTTTGGCGGCATAGGGACATTTCTGGGGGGCTGTTTTGCCTACATAGCAGACTTGTGTGAGGATGATCGTCAGAAGACACAACGCATGGCTGGAGTGGACATGATGATTGGGCTTTTGTCTGGGGTGGCCTCAATATCGACAGGCTACTTTCTGAGAGCTGCAGGCTTTAATTGGCCCTTCGTAACCTCTGCGTTGTGTCAGTGTTTGATCCTACTCTATGCAATATTCATCCTAGAAGAGACTGTGAAGAAGGCTCCCACGGATGCCGTTAGTCCAGATGGGTCTCCTCAGCACTCGGCCTTGAAACAGATGATCTTTGGGGTCTACAAGATGTTTGTAGGGGCCAGGTGTAAAACTCTGTTGATTCTCCTAATACTCATTTTCACCAGCTTCTCCTTTGCCTATGTGGGTGGGATATCCTTGATGACACTATATGAGCTCAATGAGCCACTGTGCTGGACTGGGATTTTGATTGGCTACGGCTCAGCACTGTCCACCACTGTGTTCCTGACCAGTTTTGTGGGAGTGTCAGCGTTCACGTACTGTGGTGTGCCACAGCTGCTCATTGTCCTGATGGGGATCCTGTCCGTCATATCGGGCATGATCCTGTTGGCGTTTACTAAGACCACTTTAATGATGTTTATAGGTGAGAAAGATTTCCCTAACAACTGTGCTGCTTTAACCAATAGTGTGCAATATTTTTGAATGTCCTCCTCAGTAAAAGAAATTTCACCAAAGCCAAGTCAAGGTCAAGTATGGGCAGAAATTGAATTTAAACCTGTACCTGGTTTACTTTTTGCTTGTCCTGTTTTCAGAGAAGTTCAGTAATGTTAAATAGTTTGACGAGATCAATGGAAATTGTGTTATGCACAGGATTTGTTGCCTCATAGCCATGTTGAATAACTAATATGCTTTGGTGTTGCTAACGATCATGTAGATAATATAATACTAATATCACTGGTTATGTGGCCCTTTTCCAATATATTATATAGCGCTCTAAAAATAAATGGCTGTCAAAACACAGGACATATAATTAAAATTAAAAAAAGGCCACATTTTAGCTGTAATATAAAACAGTAAATTACACAAATAAACAGTACAGGCTAGTTGCACAGTTTACTGATTGACAGAACCTACCTTTCCTACCACATTTACAAGGTGTAGCAATGTTACAAGAGACTCTTTTGTATTTTATTAGATTATTGTATTGTAAGCCGATAAGACAGTATGTTTATGATATATTATCACTGCATTGTTTATTTTAAATGTCATGTAGCCATTGTCACTTTCATATGTTTGTTCATATTTTCTGCAAACACCTTAAACAACTTTGACTATGAATTTTCTTTAATAATGTATTCATGTATGAAATATATGTATTTTGCAATTTGATTTGATTATAGTCCTTGCATTATGATGTATAATATAATTTCTGTCGTCTGTTATTTGTTTTCCACAGTGAGGGTGCCATTGCTTCTGGCTATCATGCCTTTCCCTGTTCTGCGCTCCATGATGTCAAAGATCATCTCAAAGTCTGAGCAGGGTGAGTGGGTTTAGGGCTTTACAGGAGCCACAGAACCGTGTCTGTGTGTTTGTAGAGTCAGAGTCCAATGAAGACATGCCTGTCCAAGCAACTTCATGATGCACTTGAAAACAAAGCACTCCAAGTTTCTGTTCCTTTGAGCAAAGGGCAATCTTGGGCCTAAACTGATTACAGGCATATCCTGTTGATAGTCATCACTTCTTAAAAAATGTTTTTCTACTCTGCTCTGTGTGTTTTTGCAGGAGCCCTGTTTGCCTGTCTTTCATTTATGGATAGTTTAACTTACAATGTATCAAGCGCAGTCTTCAACAGTGTGTATGCTGTTACGGTAGCTTGGTACCCTGGCTTCATCTTCCTGTTGTCTGCAGGACTCTGTGTCATCCCTTTGTCTATCCTAGGGTAAGTTCATCTTGTTGCCAATGTAGATGACACAACACAGTCAGTGAAACATGCTGTTCGTCTTGGTGCTGTGAAAACTAGAGGGAGAACCTTTTCATGTTGGGCTTGTTTGATGTCAGAATTTGTTATATTGTTTAGAAAGTATTCTACCCAAAGTTATTTGTTAATTCTACAATAAAAACATAGCTTTTTATTCACAGTTTGTGCTGTGTAGATATGCTTCAGATATAGAGCTGTACTCTGTGGATAAGGTTTCATTACAGACACCTCTTTTTTCTGCTAAGTCACTGTTTGCCAGTTTTGCTTGACTACATAACAGAAAAAGGCTTTACTTGATTTGGCCCAGAACTGTGCTTGAAATTAAGGATGTCCTGTTGTGGGGACACAAAGATACAATGCTGCCAACTTGGTGTCTTTTTTGCTAGATTAAGCAACTTTTTAGACCCTCTTAGTTTCTTTATTTCTAAAACTAGACCAGCGACAAATTTACTGACTTATTCACACCATCAGGGAATGTTAAATGTATTGAAATATATAATGTAATTCATTCCATGCATAGTGCTTGTAGTTGCAGTCCACGGCTCTTCTGCTAACAGCGCAGGGGTCTCTCCCTCTCCTCTTGCGCCATGCACTGGTATTCAGTTAGTGTGGCATGTGGGTCACGTTTGACCCTCACTATCACTCTTTCTCTCTTTCTCTCACTCTGGATTAGGGTGTTCTTATAGCTTAGCCTATATGTAAATAGAAAGTTTGAGCTTTCTAAATATTTAAACAGTTGGTTTTTATCTTCCTCTGCCATTTGTAGACTTAAATGAATATAAATTTAAATATATGATGTCACTGTAGGGAGTTTGTGATTATTTGGTTAAATAATAATAATAATGTTTAAAGTGTGTCTATGTAAATTTCCATCAGGTTTGCATTTACACTACAGTTTGCATTGATGCATTTATTGATCAAACAATGACTAGAAGAATAATGAAAAAACAAAGGATGATTCTAGTTTTTTATTCATATAAAAGTAAGCAGAACATCCCTGGCGGACCAGAGTGAGTCAGTGAAGTGATACGAGTTACTGAAACAAATTTATTAAACAATATTCATAATGATGCATTAAAAAGAAGTACTTCAATTTGGGACAATGGTTGGTTGTTAAGTCAAAAGTTGAAAGTAGAATTTGAAAAGTTGGACGGTCGGACACTGTGGATAAAAGTTAATTTTATGTCATGAAAACAAGAAGAACCAGTTCCTCATTCCTATAGTCACATCCAGCTTCCTTCACCAAACTGTTTTCCTCTTCATATAATAACATAAATCTTTGACATGTGCATTATGTCTTCTCTTTTATATTTTGACCAATACACCATCAACATTGTTATGTAGAAAATATATAAGAAAGGTCATAAGCTACATGGTACACTGTGTTTTTACATTTGTCTTGTTACACTGGGTTGACAAAGTAGTGCTGCTAAGTCAGTCTGGGAGGTGTAGTGTGAAACATTAAACTACTTGAGCAATCCACCTCTGTCACAAGCACTTCTGCTTCGGTTACATAGTGAATAGTGAGGTAAAATAACAAAGAAACTGGTTCAGCAATCTCAGTCTAACCTCTAAGGCTAGCATAGGCTCTACAAAGCAATCCCTAATGGCAACACATTATTTTGTAGTTCGCTGTGTAAACTACAGTTTTAAAATTGAAATCTGTACTGTATGTTGCAGCCACTTTTAGGAGTACATTGCAACTGCCTTTATTCTGTATGTTCAGTACTCTTTTAGCTAAAAGGAACTACTTGTAATTTCCCAATTCCACAAAACTGAACTGCATCTTTTACTGTTTGTGTATGCACCAGGTGGTAACTTGGTACATGTGAATGAAAAAAACAAGACATTTCTTGTTCCAATTGAGAGTTGTTTCCTGTTTCTCGAAACATCAGAGACTTAAAATGGAAATGGAAATGTTACTACGTCAGACACGCTGATGCAGGTTTGAACAAAGAAGCTATGTTAAAACTGCTGACAGTTACCCAGTTTAGTTGGAATTGGTAGAGACAGTAATGTATCACATGTCTTATGCCTGTTTCAGGGTGGTGGGTCTGATCGGAGTGGATGTTCCCAAAGAGGTAAAAGATCCAGAGCCTATTCTCTCAGAGGAGGAGGATCCTGCTGTAGATCAGAACGACAAGAGCCCTCTTGTTTGCTGAGCCACATTGACTCACAACTCACCAGCACTTTGTTCCGTTTCTTTATATAGTCTATTATTCTAAGATACTTTTTTTCAAAAGTACCTCAGTTGCTGTTAGTTTCAAAAGTTAATAATACAGGTTACAGAGTCATCTCTAAGCTTTTTTGGTGTGGTTGTTTGTGTGGATGATAAGTGATGTGCTTTCAATATTACAATTAAGAATGCTGTGTGAGACATTACTAACACATTCAAAAAGAGTTTGTGTTTTTATACAGTTTTACAGTGTGATATGATCTGCTATTTTAAGAACCAGTTATGTTTCAGTTATGCAAACTGATTCTGAAATACCCTTTGTCTCTCCTTTTTATATGTAATATAACACAAATTGTGTTTACTATATAACGTTGTTCTTAGCTTTCAAACAAATCTACAATTTAGATGCATTTTATTCACTAAGTGATGTAAAAATAAGCAAATATTACAGTATATATGTGATTTTAAAGAATATCAAACTGATCAAACCAGTGAAGCAAGTAAGACTGAACACAGAGTAAGGACAGCATTACAACAAACAACAACATTAATGACAGTAATGATCAGATTAATTTTTTATATGTGTGGGTGTTGCGGTGCTGTTGTGTGTGTGTTTGTGTTGTGTGTGTGTGTGTTGGTTGTGAACATTTTTAAATTTAAAACCAGGGATGAATTTTTCCCAGGTTGATATGTGACCCTTGCCATAAGATTTGTTTGTTTTATGGGGAGATATGAATCTGTTTTTGACTCAGGAGTTTACTATCTGTGTGGTTACTTGAGTTTATTGTTCTTTTGTGATTCAATTCCAAATGTTTTAATGTGTTTTAAAGTGGAAACAAATCAGTGAATTCCTCTGACACTGTCCCAAAGAAGACAAACCATTAGGAAGAATAGTTTTTGCTGTTGGGAGAACACTCTCTTCATGTTTGTCTTCCTGTTGCTCGCTAACTAATGGAGACTGGACAGCAATAACGTGATCAAGTATTGTAAAGGACCTTTCCTTAAATACTTGTCAACCATAAAGGGAATAAAATCCATCAAGCCAGATTTGAGTATTCAGGGACGCAATCAGGTTCACAATCACAATTGTCAGACAAAAGTGTAGAACTCTGAATTGTGTCAACATCTCTGATTTGTTCAGTGATTCAAACAGACTGAAGGAAGTTAATTTTGTTGTCACATGACTCACTTCAGATGTAACTATATTAAGAGTGTATGACTGCATCAATTTTCAAGTCTCTAGATTTCTAGTCACAGGTTCACGTCAGTTGCAACAACATATGAGTCTTTCATGCTCATTTGTCTGTGAAGTGGTGGGTGTGGGCTTGACTCTTATGTAAATCTGCATTCTGAGTCACAATACTGGCATGTATTAATATATCCATGTCCGCGTGAAAGAATAAATCCAAATCTTCTTAAACAGAACTGCCTCTGTTTGACCACTAGGTGTCACTCTTGTCATTCTTACAGCCACACTAACACTGATATTATCATTAACATCATAGATATACCCATACCAGCTGACATGGAAATAAAGGAATGGTGTTAAGATCTGTCTTGTTTCCATCCATTGTGCTGTCTTTCAAAAAATTAAATCACCTACAAATGAAGGTGTCAATCTTCTATGTATACACTCCCTATTATGCATGCTAAAGTGTACTCTAGAGGATCTACTGGCAGAAATAAAATATAATATGTAAATATAATAATATAACTATGTTTTCATTTGTGTATAATCACCTGAAAATATCTGTTACGTTTTTGTTAACTTAGAATAAGCCTTTTATATATATATACTGGTGCTGCCGGTCGCTTTCAATGGGGTCCGCCATGTTGAACCACCATTTGTACCATGTTTGTACAGTAGCCCAGAAGGGACAAACCAAACAATGGCATCAGATAGGGGCGTTCACAGGTCCACCCTAGTTTCTCCTGCCTCTTCTGCTTGGAAGGGGAGGGTGAAGTGAGAGATTTGTCGTCTGCCACTAAATCGGGTCCTTTAATAGCTGTCTCCACACAATGTCATAGTCTCTAAAACAAAGTTAATTAAGTGCAATTAATATATGTGAAGTTATGTTGGTGAACAATTCTTGTTGATTAAAGTACATGTAAAAAAAAAAGCTAAAAAAATGACAGCCCGTTCTTCCACCAATGGATGCTCCCAAAGCTTTTCAACTCAACACTGTTCCTCATTCGTCTCACACCTCAAAGTTAATGTATTTGATTTTCCTGCACTGAATTTTCCAAAGTTCCCACCTCCTGTCTTTGTCCTCTACAGAGAAGGGTTGTTATAAAAGGGTTGTACATGCATGTGTGTAAAACCTATTTTCCTAGGCTCCTAGACTCGCCCTGCCTCTGGGAGGGATGTGAGATTCAAGGAAAGCCTGTAAGCATGTAAACGGTGTGTGGCTTATGGATGATGAATGGACATGAGAAATCCTGGCAGAGATCCCATCAGATTGCACGCTTAGTTACTGGACCACTGGGTTAGTGTGGAAACAGAGAAGCATGTGACCAATGTCTACCATCACAAAAGATAAATGAGATGGCAGGAATGCTATACAATTCCCTCACGTGAATCTGCACTGAATATGCCACATAAAATCAGATTAGACTTAGACATGATGCATCGTGGGTATAGTTATCAGCTCAGTTTTAAATCTGGTTTGTTTGTTGTTGGGATGTTTCGCCAGCACATTGATTTTATGTTTCGACTGTGTTGAGAGATGTGACTTACACAGGAGGATGGGAAACGTCCATGAGAGAAACGCAACTTGGATATTAAGATGAAGACCAAGCTGGTTCAGTGTAAAAACATGTAGCAGACCTGCTCACACTTAAGAGAAATAAAATCTTGTTGCTTTTGAACATTGTTGAAGTAGACACATGCCAATGAAAGTGTGTGCAATTTCCTTTTTTTCTCCCCTTTTTTAAAATGTCTACATGGCACGTCAGTTTGAATTGGCTTCTTTCATGGAAACCAAAATGACGTCTGATCATAATGTGCAGTTATTTGATTTCCACCCTCAAGTCTTGAGAACCGTGACTGCAGCTTGATTGTAAGGTAATGTTGACACTGAGTTTGAATTAAGCTCTCAGAGCTGGAGGTTACATGAGGGATCATCTGAGGCAGGGCCTTGCTTGGCACCAAACATGAGGTTTTTTGGTTAAATTAGAGATGGAGGTGTGGTGAGCAGTGATGGTTTTCCCAGGGGTGAGGAGGAGCTTGGGGGGGGGACGGTTGTGGCATGTGCCTTGTGTGCATCTGGCGTGCATGGGGTCGTTGAGGATTAAAGGGAAATTTGACAAAGTATGGTTGAGAATGGAGGCAGGGGGATACGGGGTCTTTGGTTTCTGGTTTCCAAACTAGCTGAATCAGCAGTGCGATCATCTGCACCCCACCACATCACATCACCAATAGCTCAATCTCTGATGTTGATCCAGTGAGTTGCTAACAGACCTCTCTTTATCTCAACCTTCTGCTGCCCGGGAGGAGATAATTCGCTATAATATAAAACCCCATTTGCGGTGGGTTGCGTGACTGAAGCTGAGGGAATACAGGGGCTTCCCAGTCTGGAGTGATTTCATCATTTCATCACACCAGGATCCACTGCATTTTTATCTTCATTCGCAGTTTTCATGCAGTAAACAGGCTCAATAGCACAGTGAATTGATTACACTATAAGACAGTTCATATGTTGGTTGATTTTGATTTGAAAGGAGATCATTTCTTTTCTTTTTTTTATGTACCCAGGAAAGGATTTTGCTGATCACGAAAGCCTTTTCTGAGCTCTTTTCTACATGTCAGATGTTTCAGAGTTTTCAAGTGACCAGCTTCACTGGAGCAGATGCAGCTTAAACACTTCCCACAAAGGCGTCTTGACAGTTGAGGTAGTGCAGAGTATTATCGACACACTTGTGCTTGCACACAGTACTTGCACCAATCTTTTTCAATCTATCTGTGTGTGTATGCACCATAGACTAACAAACCTACAATCCAACACATTTTCAAGCTGTGTTTGGTTGTTTAATGAAAGTAAATTGTTTGATTGTGGATGACAGACTGGATGTAGACATTTAGCCAGGACAGTCGGTGCCCCTATTTTCATCTAAACCATCAGCTGGAGGCCGTTCAACTTTTAATTTCACTTCCACCCTTTTTTCCTTTTACAAAAGTCTTGCTGCTGTGTTGGTTTTCTCCTGCTTTCAATCCTGTAATGCACCACTGATAGTGCGTGTAGGTTGGTTGGTTAAATGTCGTTTTTCAGATGCTCTGATCTCTGTGAATAGTTAAAATTAATAATCATAAGTGAAACAAACTTCACATTTTTAACTTTCCCCTCAATCATGGCTGCCTCTCTTCTTTGTTTTATCCATTCATATCAATGAAATCAACACATTTGCCTACCTACTTCTGTCCCATCTGGATCGCATGGCTTCATGTGGTTACCCATTCCTCCCACTGATGTCTTTTCCCTGTCTGCCAATAATGTCAAATCCCCTGTTGGTCCTACTTCATCCCTCCTCCACATCCTTGTTATTTTCTCTCTACTACTACTTTCTCTACCACTTATGAGAATGGACTGGCTTTTTTTATGAGCTGTTTCAAATATAGATCTGTAACTGCCGTTATTGGCATGCGCCTTAACCACAGACCCTTCTTCTCCTCTTTGTCATTTCCAACCACCCAACCAACCATGCTTCAATCTCCAGAAGTGGTTTCTACAGTCAAATCTTCACCTCCCTCACCCCGCAAATCCACTGTATGTGTCTCCTGCCCCTTCCACTAGATTCACAAGCACAGTTTCAGTCAACTGCCAACTCCATTGCCTTCTGAAGTGCTATCACACTACATAGCAACACAGCCCCACTTTCAAAGGTGTAGTACACACACAGACACAGAAAGACACAAACATCGACAGCCGGTTTTATTTTGGATTCATTTCCAAGTTGGTAAAACACCTGGATTTATGAAGCTCTCAGTTTAATATATTTTTATACTTGTATCTTTTTTTATGAGCACAAATACTTTATGTTTGACAAAAACCTTTGTTTTTTAGGTTTTTAGTTTTTTTTAATCTAAATCTTTTAATGTTGTCATTTTAAATGGCTAAAAGCTACACCTAATAGATATGCTAAGGGTTCTGAAAGGATTCATATTTGATAAGTGGATTCAATACTAGATTAGGTTTAGATAAAATACAATGAAACCCTACAGACAACCACTATTGATTAATAAGGTCACTGTATGGCAGCTTGTTGATTTCCAAGGACAGATAAAATCAAAGTATATAGGGATATAAAATAAATATTAAACTATTATCATGTCCAAAATAATTACACTATTATCTCCACAATTTTATATTACTAAAATAACATAACCTTTGAAGCTTGTGTTACTGCATTAAGGCAGGCTGTCATTTTCATAAGCATGGGGAGTTATATTGATTATCGTCCCGCCCCTACATAAGAGGACCGAGCCGAAGGTTGTTGTGTGGTGATGCCACCCCGCTGAGACCACAATGATTACAATTGAGTGTGTGAAAGCTATGAATGTCATTTGTGCAGGGCAGAGCTCCTGTCTTTAGCCACGTCAGCTGCTGGTGAGCCGGAGTCTTAAAGAATGGCC